TTTTTCCCCCCCCAGCCTGCCGGGCACAGCCAAAAGGAGACGAGCGCCCTCCATGCTAGCTGCCTTTGCGGGACACAGGCACGTACTTCTGAGCGGGACCACGGTCTCCTTCGTGAGAGTTGTTTTTGAGGCAGCCTGTTTGTAGCAGGAAAATCTGGAAGGGAACGCGTTCTCTATTTTGACTGCAAGAGCCAAAGCGATTATATTTCACGTACTTCATCATATGCAATCCTCGAGGTACAACCGCACAACGGCAATAACCGTGAAACCCATCTCAGGCTTGTGGCACCCCGGGCCGGTGCCGCAGGGCCAGCCTCCTCCGGGCATCTCTGCCAGGGCCACGGCAGTGTCAACCTCCCCCCCTGGCAGAGGGGCGATTTTAACATTGGATTTTTGCTTCTGAAGGTCCTACAATACCTAATTCACCCGGCTGGGTGGGATCTGGCGCTCAACTGATTTATGGCGTAGCACAGTGGGCTGCCTGTTCATTCAAACAAAATTGACCTTCTTTACCAAATGTTGCTCTGCTTCCACTTTAATTAAAACAGAATTAGCAGGACTTGCAAGTTTGTTAAATATGCGCAGTCTTCTATTTAATCTGTGTTCAGCGTGCAAGTCAGTCAAGCGACACGTGGAAAATTACATGTCACTGAGTTAGGAATGCAACTTGGAGGATGACTTCATGTGCCTGATTGGAAATAGAGGCATGCCAGATGCTCCCAAGGCCTGACCCCTCTAAAGACTGAAAGATCACACGTAACTCTCAAATGCAATTTCATGCAGGCAGAGGGAAGAAAGAGCCTAATAGCTTTGTATTACTTAGCTTCCCATTTAATTTAGTTAGGGCAGTGTGAATGTCTTAATAACGTGAAGCAGAGCTCTGATCTCTGCTTTGGCTGCGTGTTTCCAATAGACACCCTAATGCCTTTCGCATGGTCCAAATGGTTAACAACCCACATTTTCTTGCTGTTTCTTGGAAATTGTATTTCATTTCTGAGGAAGAAAGAGCCTCGCACTGTAGCTTACAAGTATGTAGTTCTTGCTTTGAGGCATACACTGACATTTTACTGATTGGTTTTTTTTTTCTGGAGATAAAACACATGCAATAAAAAACTCACAGCAAATGTGAGTACAAAACAGAGACTTTTGTAGAACTTGAATTGTATTTTGAGGTTACGAAAATTACGTGGCATTTGATCTTTCCAGCTCTTGATCAATTCCTCTGTTATAGACTTGAATGTCACATCTTTCTCCTTGCCCAAATCCTCACTCCCAAAATCCTGCTAAAAAGTACATGGCGAATGATCCAGGTCTCTGTCTTTAATAAGCATGTTCACATAACAAACTTTATAACAGCGTTTTGTACACTCACGTATTTTTCCTCTCCCCCAATGCATTCCAAGCACCTACACAGTCATGCTAATTAGATCATGTAATAAACTTAAACGTGGCAAAAATCTGCACAGGGTGTTGCAAGAGAGAGCTAGGTTTGGAAAGCAGCCATTCATGGATTTGTTTTGTTTGAAAAAAGCCAAAGGATGTTATTTTACTGAAGATGAAGTGGTATCCGTGCAATATTGGCTGTAATCTAAGGAGACCAGTGATTTTGTTTAAATATTCAACACTAAGAGAAAATTGGGGTATAAGAGCTTGCTTATATGATAAAAAAAAGTATGAGTTTAACTTAAAGCCACTAAAAATAATTAAAACTACACTAAAAGCTAAAGTAATGTTTAGTTAAACTTAACTAATTAAAACTAAACTAAAAACAATGTATATCTACAAAGGAGTTAAGTAACTTAACTTTGAGCATAAGGTATCTTTTAAATTAAAAGAAGTGTCTATATAGCATATTGAGCTAGATTCAAAATGCACCTCCATCGGTTTCTGTGCAGATGGACTTAAGCTGTTCTTCTGTGCCTGATACAGTAATCTGTACAGTCACAGGATAATACAGAAGAGAAAATACAGCGTTCTCTTATATACCACCTTAACATGGCAACCGTACACTTGCATGCTCTTTGCTGGGGACAAGAGCGTAATTTTGACCACTCTAGATGTTTGACAACAACGTTTAGTTGGCCCTGGTTTTTACAATATAGTCGGCAAGGTGATCGGCTGTATGGTAGGAATTGCTTGCTTAATTTCAGTTCAGATGCTAAAAGTTTTGGCCGCTGTTGCCCTGAATTACATTTAAATCTGTGGATCTATTGAGCTGGCACTTAAATACAGTCGCAATAATTTTCATAGCGATCTAGACAGACTAAGAGTATTACCAGATGACTGCGCTTCTGCAAAGCTAATGAAGGCAGAGACACAGAGCATGAAAAAGTGGCATGTTACGAAACACCCAGCAGAAGGAGACAGCAAGGAGCTGAGCTCGTGGCTGGGTCGTGGCGTAGTCGTCGGAGAAAAGCCAGGTCCCTGGTTGCAGATTTCATCAACCGGCGATTAACGCCGTATTGAGATAACTTCCCGCTATATCCCTGATCAACACTAGATGTTGCTATGCCGCTGCTCATATAAGCTATACATTAACTAGGCTTTTAAACAGTCTTTACTGCAATTTCCTCTTTCCTGCTTCTGTTAATCACTATGTTCTGAATGCTGGTGAACTGCTACTTTAATTTACATTATTATTTTAAAGATGTAATTTTATTTGTAAAATGTCAAGTTTATAATCACCTTGAGGGTATACATAAAAACTTTACAAGCAACACAGACTGTTAGAAGTGAAAAAATGAAGCAACTCCGAAATGTATGTCAAATATTTACTTAAACTCTGTTTCTGGATTTTTTGCAATCCAAGGGGAATGACATTGTTAACTGGATGATTCCGGGAACAGACTGACAGCTGCAAGGCCATGGAGGGAAGTTTGTTTATAAGGGGAAAAAAATAGAAAAAAATTAAAAAACTGTTTAGCCCTGCTGGGTTTCAGGCTTTCTACTCCCACATGTTTGAGTGGGAGAAAGGACAAATCTTAGGACGTTGATTTCCCCATGGCAACAGAAAACGGAAATTACTTTAACCCCATCTAGTGACAGATGACTCATTGCTCAGCCTACTGCTATTTTCCAAGCACTAAAACAATACAGCTGCAAAGAAAAGGCCACCTTATATTATCCCATGTGCTGAGTGCTGGGGCCTGGGGGAGAGGGCGATTCTTCTAGCTGCTTTTTCCAAAGAAAGGTGGAGTCGGAGCCTTCTGGCCAGTCTTTCATCACCCAACGCAAGTGCAGCCAAGCGCAGTGGCGCGCTCTCTGTTCCTCGGCCACTGGAGGGCAAATCTGGGGGCCTCATCGCAGGGAGACAGAGACTCCACGGAGTTTCCCCATCAGCGTGCTTACACAAAAAGTCAGTCTTCTGAAATAACTTTTTGTCTATTTTTTGGCTGACATGGGGAAGGTGACAGTATGGAGCTCAGCTTGATGAAAAGGGCCCTGCATAAGTAACACTCAAGTTTCTCCATAATGTTCTGCCAAAGAGTAATGACACTTTGAGTCTGAACAAAAAAACCACATGAATTGTGTGGAATGAACTGTGCACACAATAGATTAACAGGTGGGTCACCAATGCACCCCAGGGAGGGGACAGCAAGTATTAGCAGGGCTTCCAGGCATGTGGGCAAGACACCTGATGGCCGAAGTGCATTTTTGTATTGCTGGGAAAGTCATAACAAGATCCCACAGGTAAAGGCTGAAATAAAAATGTTCAGCCTTGAAAGCTGCATTATCCTAGCAGAAAGACAATGGAATCGTTATCACTTGGAGGCCTTGAAACCAGACAAAGTGGTTCTGAAAGACAAGCTTTAATCCAACTTCTAGGAAAAAGAGGTAACCTGTGTATTCAGGAGGTCAGCCGTAATGACTATATTTGTCCTGTCGGGTCTTAGATCCATTGCATCAGAGCTGCGTGGCTGAGTGGCTGCTGTGCAAAGCTCTCAGATTATCTTATCCGATGAGCATTTGTAGCACATCCCCAGGATCCAGGTTCTTCCTTCTCTTCAGCAACTTGTGGACATGGCAGAGAAGGGCAGTTTTGGCAAGGAGCTGGTTTAAGCTCTCTGATCCTGGAGTGGTTCTTCATCCACCTCTTTCCACCAGCAGGGCAGTAGAGAAGAGACTCTCACTGCAAATACTTGTTTTCCCACATCCTAGGGAATTGCTGTGGCTCAGAAGCAAGGCTAATGAGGCTCGGTACAGCTCAGAAGCATTTTGCAAATAAAAAAATTATACCACTACTTCTGTTGAACAGGGAAAGTATCAGTGGTTCCCCTGGCATATACTAAATTATTAGTTAGTCAACATCCCTTAATTCACCTTAAACTGGGGGCAGATCTCACAATGTCGGGAAATTCATGACCCTAACAAAACTACATGACAGGATGAGGTCACGAGCTACATAGGGAACATTTTCGGGAAAGATAGTCTGAACTACTTGTACGGTGGCTGATTCTTTCAACCTTGCAGTTTGTATGCTGGCATAACTACTAAAGCCAGCAAGCTTCCTAAAGGCAGAAAAACTGGTCCGTAACTTTCAATTTGGATAGTAACATTAACAAAAATCAACTCCGTTACCAAGGTTGTTCTGGAGACCAGGCACTGGGCTGTATTAAAGGCCTAAAGATTACCTTCACAGAGAAATGAACACA